TTACAAGACAAGTAAGACATGCCCCCTGCACCACGGGAATTCACAGGAGAGGCAGTAAGATTTTGATTTCATAGGATGAGCATGTACAGTCCCAAGAATTCAGCACCCGTGTGTACTACGGAAGGTCAGAGGAAAGAAAATTAATCTTGGTTCCTTAAAAAAAAAAAGTTTCAGGTTTTTCTTTAAATTCTAATAGTTAAACACATATTGTAATCCTGGTTGCTGTTTGATCAGGGAAGGCCTTGTAGGGTGGGTGGTCTTAAGGTTGTGTGGAATTTACCAGCAGCCAAAGAGCTGAGGCAGAGTGCACACCTGAGCTGTGGCCCTGAGTGAGAAGGGTTGGGTGGGTGGATCGGTGAATGGGGAGTCGCCCTTGTTGCCCAGGTGCGGCATGTGGAGGAACCAGTAGAACGTGGAAGCTAGAAAAAAGAGAAGTAGAGGCTAGACTGGCAGGTACTTTGTGAGCTGTGCCAGGACCCTGGCCTCTGGCCTGCCTGGGACTGTGTGGTCCAGGAAGCCAAAGGACAAGAAGGGAAAGAAAGCATCAGTACACATTGCCCTTCAGCCAACACAGCAGGCCCGCCTGGGCCTCCTAAGGAGGGGAGTGCCCTCTAGGGGTTTAGATGATTTCTGAGTGGTGTTCATCACTGTGCTCAGGCGCTCAGATGCCCACTAAGCTGAATCCATTACCTACTCAGGAGAAAAAAGACAGCCTAAGCAACCCACCTGGCTGCAGCTGTGATTACATTATGCAGAAATTTATTAATGTGGTGTCTTGATTGATCATTATCTTAATACTGAGGATAATAGTAGAGGCTTGATTTTTTGCAGCAAATTGCACATACAGGTTGCTTCTTGTTTGAAGTTAAAAGGCCCTTAGCCCATATACTGTATGATTCTATTTATGTGAACTGTCCACAACAGGCAGATCCATAGAGACAGAGCACAGATGAGTGGTTGCAGGGGGCTGGGGGAGGAAATGCAAGTACAGGGTTTCTTTTTGAGGTGATGAAAATGTTCTAAAATTAGGTAGTGGTAGTGGTTGCACAACCCTGTGAATATAAAACCACTGAATTGCACTTTAAAGGGGGTGAAATTTATGGTATGCTAATCATATCTCAATAAAGCCGTTATTTACTTATGAAAAAAAGAAAAAAAGCCCTTAGCGTTTCTGCGATAGGTGTCCTGCCAACAGCTGTACCTGAAGCAGCCATTTTGAATTCATGGTGTAGAAATCTCCGTGTTGTGCTTCTCACTTTCTCTTTTGTACTTTTGTTTTTAGTTACTATTCTTCCTCTTTCGTGCATTTCCAGTTCTGTTGCACTTAAGAAGTATTTGTTAGTGACTACACACAGTGGATGCAAGGAGAGCTGGTGGTAAGATTTGCACTCAAGTCACCACAAAATAGAATGAGAGAAGCCTTAAGCGACGTATGGTATCTGGCGGCTCCGAGAGAAGCTGTCATTTGAGGTCGGCCCAAGAGGACAGATAGTATGTGCACAGACAGCTGGATGAGGAATATTCCGGAGAGAGCAGGGGTGAACAGTGCAGAGGCAGCAGCATGAGAGCTGGTGTGGAGAACAGAGGAGTGACCAGAGCAAAGGAAAATGAAGAGAAAGACCACAGGGGAGACTTGGGGGAAAGGCCCGTGGACTTGACAGGGTCGTATGCTAGGCTGAGAAGCCGATCGGTTAAGTGAGGGGCAGCTGACGACTTTGGACGCTGGAAGTGCAGTAACTGGGCTGTGGTGTGGGTTGGGAGGAGAGAGTCAGTTGAAGGCAGCCAGGTGAGAACCTGGAAATTGGGAGGGAGGGGGTTTTAGAAGTGAGGGTAAGTGCTGACCTTGGTGCCATGAGCATCTCTTCCGTGTCTATTTCCTCTACCGCTATTCCACACGTTTTCTCCATTTTCTTGCTTGCTCTTTATCCAGGCAGTGGGGTAAAGGGTAGAAGGAAGACGTGGGAGAAGGGACAGAAAAAGAACAAAAATGGAGAGAAAAGGGGGTAAGGACAAAATAACAATTTGCATCCTTTAGTTGTTTTGTAATTCAGCGTTTCCTTTTCACCGGAAGGAAACCTAGTCTCTCGTGGCAAGTGCAGGGCAGGAAGCCTTATATAATCTCAGGTCATTGGTTTAGGCTGTGCGCCTCACTATTCCCATCTCTAAAAGGGAAGAATACCTGCCTCTACTGTAGGTAAACCAGAGGGTCTCTATCATATTAAATAACTTTTAAAAACTTATACTTAAAGTTAAAAACTTAGACTTAAAATTATGTAAGACTTACATAATTTGTAGACCTAATAAATTTCCTTGACAGACAAGGGTCCTGACGAGTCCCCCATTTATTACATGAGAGAGGGAGCGTAAACACATCTGTCAAAAGATAACCCATGTGAGTTGGATCGTGTTGAACTGTATGAGATTGCCATGTGACTATTTTTGACTTACAAAAAAATGACAGTTGTCCTAAAGTTTCAACCTAATAGTTGCTGGATAGATATCTGATGTGGGCCCAGGTTTTCACCTTTTCTGGTTTCTCAGGAAGTTCCTTCTTTATTAAGGAGCTAATGGTCTTTAACACCTGCTAATTTTAGGTTCAAAGGAAGCCTTGTGAAATCAAAAGACAGCAAGAGGTGGGGAGGGCTTGCCAAGAGGCTGGTCCAGAAGGGGAAAGGAGCTGGGAGCCGGCCAGCCAGCCCAAACCGGGGCACCTGAATCCTTGGAACTTGAACATATAGTCATTCTGGGTATAGGAGCAAAAATTCAGCATCAGGGGTTTTCTTTGGTAAGTGGGTTACTAGGCAGTTGTGTGCGGTTTTAGACCTTCTGTAACCTACTACAGACAACCTCTGTGAATCACTACAAAAGCGCGAGAGAGATCTAAATGTTGAGAAACAGGTCAGATGTAAAAGGGGACACAAGAAGCCGTAGGGCAGACTCCACTATGGTTTTCAGCTTGGTGGGATTTCTGACAGCCTCGCAGAGAGCTTGGCACCTAAGTGCACATACGTGTTCAGTAAAGGTCCCTGAAGGATATCCGAAGAGGTATTTTCCAGTTCATCGTATGCTCTCTGGTGTTTGAATTAGAATGATTCCCCGGAACACATCAGTAGGCAAGAATGTGGATCCCAGAAGATGTGGAAGAAAAGGTTAGTCAGTTATTCATGTAGGATATGTTTCCATTGTAATCACATGCAGATACCAGAACCAGGATGTGGCCTCATGAGGCCCTGGCCCCATTAATCCATAGAGGCTGAAGGGTTGAAGTTGTACAGAGGATCCAGAATAAATGGAAATAATATGTCATCACTGTAGTATCACAGGGATATGATTATCTGCTTACAACTGTAGTAACAAGGCACACAGAAATGAAAGACTGGAATAACCTTTGCAGTTCAGCCCTGGAAGTTGATTGCCCTAGAGGAATATAGATCCGCCCACACCGAAGAGGCAAATGTTTATCTGAAACCATAAAAGATTCCATTGCAGCAAAACCTTAATTACCTAACCCCCTCTTCTCCCAGGTCCCCTGATATAACCGTCACCCCATATGGAAGAAGCCTGAAAGGGCCCACCTCCAGAGGGGTTGTTCACACCTTTCCAGTGGCTTTAATGGTCTTTGGTGCAAATTTTAATTTATATTTGTTTCCCTTTTAGTTCTGCAGTTGATGATAAATGTAACTAAACCTCTGGGCCTGATTATTGAGGTACTTGTGGACTATGAGCATACTGGAATTCGTTACAGGTCCAAAGAACAATAGGAGAACAAAACAATCGCTTAAGCAAGAAGGTGGGGGGAAAACAAAAAACTGAAATTAACAAGTGTGTTAATCGCTCTTCCCTGCTGGGAGCGTCCCCCTCCCCTGATCCTGACCCCACACTGTACATAAGTACCCACATACTTCCTGTGAGGATGTCTCTTTTTAGGATGCCTTCCTTTTATTCCTATCAACCTGGGAACTTCCTTGGTCATCCTCTCTGCCCTCTGACCCCTCCTTTCATCCCCAGGGGAGCCCTGGGGGGGGGGGGTTTGGTGGGGGGGGAGCCGGAGGCTAGCTGTTCCTTCCTTTTATTCCATTTGTGTTCTAAGGCCCTAGGCTGCTCATTCCCTGCCTAGTTCTTTGTAACAGGCTTCAGCAAGCAGTAGACTTTTTTTTCTCCTCTTATGCTCACCTCATACATATACCCACCTCTTACTTTTCTACTACGTTTAGACTGGTTTCACAGCAGAGTTGAACTTAAGTAAGGTGAGAGCCAGCAGAGTGGGCTTGCAGTTCATTGAACACCTCATTCATGCATGTTGAGATAAATGGGCATGTAGTGGCTTAGAAGATCCCCCAAAATGAGGCTTTCAGCTTTCAAATAACTGTCACAGGTCCCCCTACTAAAGCTCATGCCCGTTGTAAAGAGCTCCTCAGTCTTCCATCAGCATCCGTTTCTCGGGTTATGCATAATTATAAATGAATGTGGCTAAAGATGAGGGTACCCCGAGACCCAGTCACACTGACAAAAAGAGACTCAAGAGCTACTAACTTAATAGCAGAAAGAAGGGTCAGAAAGATCTCTGAAAAACACCCAAAGGTCAACAGCAACAAAGCAGGAACACAGGGCCATTTAACACGGGAGCACCCTTCTGTGTTGGCCCACGCGAGCATCGCTGGTTTATGGAATAACACCATAATGTACACACATAAACACGGCCCTGCGTCATCAAGGAAATGCTTGTTATGCTGGTCTGCTTAAGTAAGAAATGACGTAATGCATTTTAGGAATATTTCTGTCAAAATGGTTACGGTTAAAAACACGGGTGTATTTTAAGGAGATGAGCCTCAGTTATTTGGAATGCAAATTATGTTAGCACCCGGTCCCCATCCCCCAGTGACCCCAGATAAGCAAGACAGTGTCGTTTGCCACAGCCACTGCCACTTTGTTTGTGGTCTCCCGACTTCTATGTTGTTGTTTATTCATGGGGTTTTCCTTCCCTTTTTCTTTGGTTTCAGATGCGAGTGTCTCTCTGGCTTATGTGGTTTCCCCGTGTGTGAGGTGGGATCCACCCCTCGCATAGTCTCTCGTGGAGATGGGACACCCGGAAAGTGCTGTGATGTCTTTGAATGTGTTAATGGTACGTGGGGGTGCAGGAGGAGGGAGGGTTCCATTGGCCGCTTCCGCCCTGTGGAAGGCGGGGCATACATTCAGGGACTCGATGCCACTCACTCAGGAGGAAGGTCAGCTTGAGATCTCTCAGAGCGGCACAGGGAGTCAGGAGAAGGGGATCCTCATTCCGTCCGTCAGAAAGAGAATTTTGAAAGTGGAAGCACAGATGGTCTGTAGCTGTCACATTCGGCTGTATTTCGGTAGTGCAGAAACGTGAGGAGTTCAGGAAAAGGATCGCAGAAGCTGTGACCACACTACCACTGCTGTCAGGAGCTAGTCTGTGTAACCGATGCCACATTGAAGCCACCACAACTTGACACAGAAAAGGCACCGTTCCTCTAGTCCAGTATTTTCCTATGTAGAGAGCACGTCTTTGACCGGTGCTAGGTCATTCTTATTGGCCGCTTTTGATTCGAGCCTTATGGCCCTGAAAAAGGATTCTGCAGTCACGAGATTCCTTCACATAGAATCCACTTCTCCTTTTCACCTTTCGTGACGGGGCTTGGTGTTTGGTGACATGGTGTTTATTGAATTTAGATGCTAGAAAGGGAGGAGAACCTAAGACACGCCCTTCCCTCAGAATTTTTAGAAGGAAAACAAAGAATAAAAGTCAAGCAAGTGAAATGTCAGGCGTTCTAGCACTATTCAGTCAGTGCCTAGACACGAGGAAAATGAAGGCGCATGTGGACAAAAACAACAAAATCGCACTTGCAGAAACCCCCCTATTAACTGCTGCCTCTAAGAAATCAGAGTTCAGAAGAATGTCTGCCCCCTCCCTCAAGCCTGCCCTTCCCCATATGAAAAGGTTGTGTTAAAATTGAGTCCTTGCATCCTTTGGTTTTCAGTCCAGTGGCCGCCTGTTGTTTTGTTTGTTTTGCTTTGAGTAGACACTTGGAGTCAGGCTTCGTGGTTGACAGAACGTGGACTGGAGCCATACGACCTTGGTTTGAGAATTGGTTCCCCCAGTTACCCGCTGTGTAACTTTGGGCATCGCTTGGTCTCCCTGGGCCTCAGTTTCCACATCTGTCAAGTGGAGTGAATAACAGTCACTTAAATGAGGTTCCCCTTGTGAAGCACTTGCAATAAATCGTCTTTGTTTTGCGTGTTACCTCCCGTTCACACCCACAGACCCGGGTCTGGACGTTCCAAGGGGATAGAGAAGGCGAGATGAGCTTCCTGGCTCACAGACCTCACGAATCCAAGCACAGGTGTAGAAAAAGCTCCATGTGGAGAAAGCAGCCTCTTCTCAGTGCTTCTCCTCACTTCTAGTCGTGTGTGTTAAACACCAGCAAACCGCAAAGCCTCTTCTCTGGTACTGCTACGTATCGTAGGGGACATTTTGTGAGTATTTAACTCCTCTGCCATTTGGCACAAATACTCCTCACCCTGGGCTCCTAGCATCTCAGATGTGCTTCCTTCTAGGACTCCTCACTCAGCCAGTCCTCTCATGTCCGTCTCTCATTCTCCAGCCTGAACCTGCAGAGGGTCTGTCCTTGTGTCTGTGGGTGTCCAGGTTGTCTTGGGGGGTGAGCGAGCAGATTCGGGTCATATCCATTCCCTCCACAGGTGGCTGTTAAATACCAGCCCAGAGAGGGGTTCCTTTGTGGGGACTCTCCATCTTTCACTGCCCTCCCTGGACGTTAATCTTAAGTCACTTGTCCCCTGGAAATACCATTTGCTGTCGTGTCCTCTGGGCGAGGAAGAGGAGTGCCTTTCTTCTTTCCTTGCATCTCAGTTGTAGAAATCCAGCATCGTGTCTTTCTTATCAGGACATTAAGCTTCCATCTTACCCAGTGTGCTGTGACCAGACGGCTAATGGCTGCCCCCCACCTCAGCGGCCGTGGATGGATCTTTGGGGCCCGCTCTCATTTATAGCCTCGCTGTTTGTAGAGCTGTCATTCCAGGAATAGGACTTGCCATCTGCCACGAGACAATGCAGAGATGACAAAACACGCTCAGTGTTTCCGGGGGTGACGCTTGCCTGCCACCACAAACCTGGGTGATCTCTGCTTTTTTGTTCATTGTCCTGTTATGGCGTCTCTATTACTGTCGTTCAGTTGTAGATGAGGCTAGAAACCTTAATGCTGGGAAGATTCATAAGCTTACACAATAACATTTAAAAGTCTGTATTTTACCTCTTTTAAGGTGTACATACATACATGCACACACGCAGATACGTGCATGTGTGTGTGTGTTTGGCCCCACCCCCAGCGCCCTGGGAAAATCTTACTGTTGTCATAAGGCCATCATTAGAGGATATCACATATCAAACACTCCTTGTCACCACTTAGAACAGCAGAGGTCTATTTATATTTATATAAAGCTTTGCTTATCCACAAAGGATTTCAGGCACCTTCATAGCCAGAACAAAAGCCATAACGCGAAAATACTAATGAGAAAAGAGAGAACCATAGAGTTGTATGCAAATGCTGAAAGTGAAAACCGAAAAGAAGAAAGCGCCCGCAGGTGTGCAGGCTGTAAGTGTCTGTCTGCATAATTGCCAGGGTTAAACATTAGCAAGGCTCCCAACTTCCTGGCCGTCAAAGTGGAAAAAAAGGAGATAGAGTTAGATACGCAGGTCTTATTTTTAGAGGAAAGAACCTACTGGAGGGGGCAACTCTCTTCTCACCTGGAAATTTGAAAGGCACTGGCTGATGCAGTAGGTCACGTCCTCAGTCCCGTTCATACCACCAATACAGACACAGGTTTCCTGCGACAGCTCTTCTCAACACAGAGCAAAAGCCACGTATTCAAATACAACTCAGCGAAAGCAGTTCTCAGAGATGAGTTCGGCACACAGCTGTAATCTAGATGTCTGGAGCGTTGCCTCCCAGATTTTGAGAACCGCCCCCCACCCCACAATGTAGGAATAATTCGAGAAACCCCAGTTGAGGGGACAGTGGGTTGAATGTTACCTAACCCCACGTATGGAAATGGAGACAGCATGTCACCACTCAGTTCCTAAGCTGCCATCTAGGTAACCCGTGTGTGTGTGTGTGTGTGTGTGTGTGTGTGTGTGTGTGTGTGTGTGTGTTTTAAGATTAAGTATTAAAGTGAAAACACAAGATGGAAAATATTCACAGAGAATTTGCAAACTCCTAAGTTTTGAAAACATCAGCCTGGATGAATAGATGGAGAGAACATTCTTCACAAACATTCTCTTTGATTTGGTTCGGTTTCGGTGGTGGGACTAGAGAGTTGCAAACCAGATTGAGACAGTTGGTGATGCCTTCTCTGATGAGAGCCAAAAGTAAGACTTATGAGGTGTTAGGTGAACAAGAGCCCTGTTTAGAAACCAAAGGAACAGGTGGTATGATTGAGCTCCTTTGATGGAAACTTAGAAGTCATCAAGTTCATCACCTGGAACTATGACCCACAGCCAGGCCTGGAGTAATCTCAAGTCTCCTTCAAGAAGCAGCTCTGTGCCTGCTCGGGCCCACAGACAGAAGTTTTATCTTCAGTCAGCTGGAACTGAGTGGTGGCCTCTGCTTCTTTTTGATGAGTGCGTGTTCTCCATTTTGCTGTAATGCACTCTATGGTCTTACACGAGCACCCTCCCCCTCCCCACCTCATGCTTAGAGGAGTTTGGGTTTGAAATCTCAAGCATAGAATGTGGAAGGTTGCTCAGATATATGATCAGTCGTATGTGCATATCTGAATAAAATAGAGTATCTTGGTTTGAGTGTCATAGCCGGTAACTGCCTCTGCCAGCATCAGACAGTAAACCGTAAAATTGACCAGTTGTGGGAGAGCCATACCCAGAGTTGGCTTGCTTTTTGTGTAAAATTTGGGTCTAAAAAACTCAGACCTGCAGTCTTTTAGTTGAAAATGAATACACAACATCTATTGAGAACCCACTGTCTGTATAGCAGTAATGCTCAGTAATGTTTCTAGAGGTATAATATCTACTTCTACCGTAATTCAGAGAATAAGTATTTCACTTACTAGGCACTTATTGAGCACCCATTGTGTTCCTGGGGCCTTCTCAAGCTGCTCTTCCTTAAGAGTGATGATCCCACCTTTTGCACTCCCTTATGAGGGTGGCTTCCTTTTCCTTATCCTGCTCTGGCACACACACGTCTTCCCCCAATGGAAAAGGGTTTTCTCCCTTCAGTATTGTAGAACCCCATGTACCCTGTATTTGTGGGCCATCAGTTTGCTGTTGACATATGGAGAGATTTTCAGATGTTTCCTGACGTGTGGTTGTCTCTCTTTTGGCTTCTGTGGTCTACCCACTGGCCTTCCTACACAGCTCACCGCCAGGGAAATGAGACCAGAGGCAAGATATTAGCCTTTTCCTACTGAGAGATTGAAGGGAAAAAGCAACAGAAGTGTATATATTTGGACTTTTCTTCCACTTTCACATTTGATATAAAAGTTCTACATTTTAGCCTTCTCTTTCACTAAAATTATATACCTATCACCATCTGCCAATCACTGTAATTTGGCAGGCAGTAAAGGTTATTAACCAACTATAAGGTTTTGTTGCTTTTTTTTTTTTTTTCAGGAGTTCTGGACTATATTAAAGAGAAAAGAGAAGATTCCAGAACTAAGAAATATAAAATTTAATTGGGCAGACATGAAACAACACACACACAAAAAATCACTGACAAGACACTTTTATGCATCTCTGCATTGAGAAGTATAAATTCCATAGTAAATTATTTCTTTGTACTATTTTTCATTTCCACAACCACTTAAATTGTTCCTTAGAGGTAGTGGTAATCTCCACACGCTTCCAAGGGTCACATTTATATCCCCTACAGGTGAGGAAGTAATTGGTCACTGCTCTTCAAAGATCACTGCCATCCTTCTTACTTGTATTTTTTCTGAAGAGCGTCTATAAATTTCTCTCAGCATCAAATAGGGATTTCATTATGAGACGTGTGTGTGTGTGTGCGCGCGTGCGTGCGGCCGGGGGGGCTGGGGGTGGGGTGTTTATCCTAGAGAACTCATTATGTTTTCTAGGCTGTGTTTTGGGGGACTCCCCGTCTCTCTAGATCCCACCCCCCCTTGTTCTCTGTGCATTAGCTAGTGAACCCTAACTGCCAAATCCTTCATCAACCCCGTCCCCGCCCGCTTAGGCTTCTGCACACCCTACCAAAAATACTGGTTCGTCTGGAGGGGCATTATTCATAACCAGACTCTTCCCTCCTCACTTTCTTCAAATCTTACACCAAGATTTGTAGCTTCACGCAGATGGTGGATTTGGCTGATTAATGTAACCAAGTAATTCATATTGATGGGTTTATACTTTTTTCCCTTCATTTTGAATGGGTGCTCAGCATTTTGTTACAGTATTTTGCCTCACTGCACAGCATGCAAGTTTGATTTGCAAGAGCGCTCCCATTTTCTATACTTTGGAACTTGTGGTCTCACTGCCCAGTTCCTTCTATTCCCTGCTCAGATTAGTATGTTGGCTGAAAGCATATAGAAGAATTCTGAGCTATAATGAGATGATACTTTGTAACACAATATTAGTTTTCGGGAAAAAGAAATCATATATACAGCCAGCAGTAGGGACTCAGTTCAGACCTGCACTTTTGCTGCCTGTGTAAACACAGATGCACAGCCGGCCTCACACCAGTCAAGTGACTTTAGGCAGGTCATCTAATCTCTTTAAGTTTCATTTTCCTAATCAAAGAAATGGATATTAACACTTGCTCTGTCTTCTCCACTGCACTATTATAAACTTGAATGAGAAAGTCATTGTCCTTAGGTATAAACCAGGTGCAAATACATTCAAATTAAAATGCGGTGAAAGTCTCTTTAAAAGTTTCAAACATGCAAGGTGACATATCAAATGATGTTGGCTCAGAGGAGCCCGTGAACGATGCTTGTATTATAATCTAGCTTTCCCCACCTTATTAAACAGGGTACTTCAGCCTAGAAGAACTTTGTTCAATTTGGGAATATTTTTATGTTGCCAGCTTCATCGAGACACATATCATGCAGTTTACCAAGTTACACAGTTCAGTGGTTTTTAGAATATTCACAGAGTTGTGGAATCATCACAATCAATTTTACTATACTCATTAGTCTCTCCCCCCCGACCCCGCCAAACTTCCCAGCTCATTAGCAGTCACTCCCCATTTGCCCCCAACACCCCCACACCTAGGCAACAACTAATCCAATTTTTGTCTCCATAGATGTCCCTATTATGGGCATTTCATATAAATAGAATCATATAATATGTGGGGGGTTTTTTTAATGGCTTCCTTTAATTAGTGTAATTTTTTCAAGGTTCATTAATATTATAGCATGTATCAAAACTTCATACATTTTATGGCCAAGAAGTATTTCATTGTATGGATATACCACATTTTGTTTTCTCATAACATCAGTTCATAGACATTTAGGTTGTTTCCAAGAAAGGGAATGGTGTTTTGTTAAAGTCCAGGTACTATTAAAACTATGGATTATTAACCCAGATAGAAGAAATAATTTAGGAGCGAACACTGAGAGAACACAAGAACATCACCTCCAAAAGACCTTAAGTAAATTGTTTTTGAGGCAGAGCAGAGCCTAATGTGGAGGCAAGATCGTTTATTTGACGCAGAGAATTCTTTAGCAAAACACACATAATGTCTTTAAAGCACATATCAGATATGTGAGTTTCATGCTCAAATGGTTACCTTTGTTTGTTTGGAGCAGGGGTAAGTCGGTGTAGATTTTTGTTCAGGAGAATTTCAGTTCCTTGGGGCAAGAAGATAACTGACTTTGTTTAATTGTATTTTGCATTGCCTTACTGTTTTCATTGTACAAATTATATCAATTTGGTAAATTTCTATCAAATTCTAACGTTCTGTCAGAATTTTCTAGAGGCTGATTGAAGAACAAAAGGCACCACCCAGAAATGACTTTGAATATGCCTTGTTTGCTTTAACTCCTTTCAGAAACAAAGCCAGCCTGTGTCTTCAATAACGTGGAATATAACGACGGAGATATGTTTCGAATGGACAACTGTCGGTTCTGTCGATGCCAAGGGGGTGTTTCCATCTGCTTCACTGCCCAGTGTGGTGAGCTGAACTGCGAGAGGTACTATGTGCCTGAAGGAGAGTGCTGCCCAGTGTGTGAGGGTAAGAGAAGGTGCTCATTAAGGTTAATAAGCATATACATGGCTCAGACTTTTAATACCAAAATCAACACAATTCAGTCTCACCCAAAAATAGAAGAAAATTGAAGAAGTTCCCTTTTTGTGACATCGTGGCCCATCTTTCAGGACTTTGATCATGTCAGGAGGAGTGCGTGAGATGCCTCCCCAAGGGAAGTTATGCCCTGGGTGTAGAAAGTGGGCCACCTCTCTACACAGGTCGACATGAGATTTCCCAGAAGTGCTATCCATTCCCCCCCTCCCTTGATTCCAGAAGTTCCTCAGCAAGATCTGGGGACGTCAGAATTCACCCCCTGCTTTCCTCAGATTGTTCAGCTGGAACAAGCCAGCCCTGATCATTGACCATCTCAGCCAGTCAGCTCAGAGGGGAGCTTGCCCTGTCTCCTTTCCACACCCACACCCCTGCAGGTCGGGTCAGGACTCTACTCCTTGAAAATGTGTATTTGGTGAGAGAGGGGTTGTGTGGCATGGTGGTGACACCAGCTGAAGCCCAGCCAAGTGTCAGGTATGGCCCTGGGCAGAAGGCTCTCAGGGTCTGCTTTCTCTGTATCCCTTCATCCCTCTAAGTAATAGTTTCATGTTTCTCCAACAGGCTTTACTCTCCCACCTCTGCTATTTGTAAATAGTGAACATTTCAGAATAATGATTCTGAATATCCATTCACTATGGCCCGCACATTTTAAGGTTTAGGAAACTGAAGTTCAAAAGGTAGAGTCATTTGTCTAAGTTTATGATACCCCCACACCTGATTGTGTCTCTGGTGTGAACACATCACTCAGGCCCAAGGTGACGTGGGCCTTCTTGTCTGGACTGACGGGGTCACAGACCCTCAGTCTGGAATCAGACGTTTCCGTCTTGCGTCTGAAGTCCACCCTGCCCTTGGGGTGCCTGGGTGGCTCAGTCGGCTGAGTGTCCGACTTCAGTTCGGGCCATGATCTCACGGTCCGTGAGTTCGAGCCCCACGTCGAGCTCTGTGCTGGCAGCTCAGAGCCTGGAGCCTGCTTCAGATTCTGTGTCTCCCTCTCTCCTGCCCCTCCCCCGCTGTGCACCCTATCTCTCTCTCTCTCAAAAATAAAAAATAAACGTTAAAAAAAAAAAAACAACTTAAAGTCCACCCTGCCTTTATCTGTGCACAGGAAACAGAGGACAGAATGCCACGCCACATTCTGTACCTTTTTCTGTCTTCCTACGGTCCTGTTCACTGTCTGAGCTATATTTACCACATAATATTGGAGATCTGAAAATGTTTAAAGTATACAAACTACATTCCTAACATTGAACAATTGTTTATACCAGGGAAATTCTTTCCCGTCTTAGCAATTATTTTAGCCGACATAAGAGAAAGGTGGTTCACTTTTTAGAAGTGTCGTTGTGGATTAATTTTTTTAAAAAGTCACATCAAACTTTTAACCTTCCCAAATGATTTGTTCCCTAGCTGGCCCCAGTTTGTAATAGTTTCTCAAACTACGTAGCAGTTGGTGGTATAAAAACACAGATAGGAACCTCTGTGTAATAATCATAATGAGAGGTCTGGGCACAGATCCGGTTATGTCTCACTTCCTGGAATTCAGATCCAGGCTCAGAGTAGAAATGAAGCATGCAGTGTAATATTTTTTATGAAGAAATTTATAAAGTCTTATCTAGCTCAGGTCTCTTGGCTGCTTCCCTTTCTGGCAGGCTGACTTTCTAAAGCTGTGACTGCATGATTTTAACTTTTGGCGTTCTGACTTTCTTATAACGCCCTGTTACCTCTTTAGACTAAAGAGGACCAAACTCATGAGTGCCTGGTCTTTCCTCCCCAGTCAGCAGCCCTTACTCTTTGAAGCCAGGTTTTACGTGTTTCTGAAAAAGAAAATTGAGTGGTTTATCTGGTTGCTCTCGTTATGATAGTAGTTGGGGATTTTGTGTGCAGTGTTTATGTCCTGGTCAGTAACCTCAGAAAACATTTTTTAGTTTTTAACAGTAGCCTTGGCTACTTTTGTTCCCCATCCTCGGCTGCTGCTTGGCCACCCAGCTCACAGGGAGAAAAATAGCCTAAGTTCATAGCCTTTCCTCCAGGGCACAAACAGCCACCCACCGTATGTCTAAACCAGCCTCGTCTCAGACAAGGCCACAGCAAATTCCTGCTGTCCTCCTCACTGTTGTCCACGTGGACCTCCAGGCACCCCGAGATAGACTTCAGTCCATCCTAGAAGTCACAGCATCGCTCTGAGTTGGACGGGGGCATTATTTCCCCCACTCTACAGGTGGTGAAATTCAAGTATGATTAAACATTAAAGCTGACAACTCAGAAGACCTTGTCAGAGCCTAAAATGGACCTATGTTTTGCAGTCACCAACCCCCAGCTCTGCCCACCGAGTTTTGGAACTTTATGTAGTGGTAACACCTGCACGTTGGTTTTTACACCACAGATCCCCTGCCCTGTCTGCAGTGTCAGGATGGGTGGACATGAACTCGGTATGACAGCTGCTTTTGCATGTCCCCCCTGGAGACCCCTTATGCAGCCCGAGCTTCTGCTGATCACAGCTGGAAAAGAACTGCTGATGACTAGCACCTGGGAAAAATGTCTCCAGGTGCAGGCAGGGATAAGATTTAGAATGCCCTCCATCTCACTCTGAGCTCACATTTTGATTTAGATCCAGTGTATCCTTTTAATAATCCTGCCGGCTGCTACGCCAGCGGTCAGATCCGCGCTCACGGGGACCGGTGGCGGGAAGACGACTGCACGTTCTGCCAGTGCATCAATGGGGAGCCCCACTGCGTGGCGACAGCCTGCGGGCAGAGCTGCATGAACCCCGTCAAAGTGCCCGGGGAGTGTTGCCCTGTGTGCGAAGGTAAGCCTTGTTGACTCTGCTGAGTCCCTGGCGGATGCCTCCAGTTGGGTCAGCTTCTGCCAGTATGTTCTTGTTTGTTTTTTATTTCCTCGGGCGTAATGTCTACTTCATGCTGTTACCAGTTGCAGATGATTTTTTTTTTCTTTCCCCCTACGGGCCCAAACTAATCATTTGGGGGCAAGTGTTGCAAACTTGCAATGAGGATGGCCTGGTGTCTCTTTTTTTACTGCTGCAAATATGCTTATCTCGATTCTTTACAATATAAGAATATATACATTTCAGTTCAGTTCACTTCAAGCCTAATTAGCCATCCAAAGGTCAACGCAATAAAACAGAATGGGAGATAAGACCCGTGACTCAAGCATAGTGTGTTTGAGTTATGATGCTTCCATGAGCCCAAGAGTCCTGATGGCTAGAAGGAAAGCCTGGAACCATCAAAGGCAACTTGCATTCCTCACTTCCTTCCTTCTGAGCATCCATTCTGCTTCTAGTATCCTGAGGCTTTGACTTCGGTCTTGGCTGCCTGTATTCACTCTTCCTGTTTAATGGAGAGGAGCCCGAGGCATTCTGGGACGGTCTTTCCCCAAACCCTATTCCAGTCCATTTCCCCCGTCCTGGGAAGGTTCTCTGCACCCTTAAGGTAGCTTTAATCCTCTGTCTGTGTCTGTTAGTACAGACAAGAGAGCGAATATTTATACTGACAGATCCAATAGAGAGAATCCATCATTAAGAAGCACATTTGCATAGAAAAATGAACTAAAGTGGATCATGTTGAAGATGGATCCTTCTGGAATTTTTTAAAACAGCTCTTAAGGAACTGACAGGTCTTCTCAGAAATTCAGTTAAGTTGACTAAGTCCTGTATCAAGAAGTCTTTTGCTTCTACCCAGATTGTAAGAAACTCAGACTTCAGAGTTTGCCTGACCAGCTTTATTAACCTCTGAGGGCTTAGAATTATAAAGAACTTAAAAATTATACAAACATTTAAGGGGAGGACTCTGGGTCTATTGACATCACCAGTTCCCTCACCATTATTCTGCTCAGAATGCAGCTGCCACACTCCAAAAGTTTATAGCTTCCAGATGACCAGTTTTGTGGAAATCACCCACCCCTCACACATACACTCCTCCCATCCCCTGAAGGCGGTGTTTCAGCACCGGAAAAAGGAGTGGACGGAAATACGTGTGATGGTATATGGTTTGGCTTTGTGAGAAAAGGCACCTGGCTGAAACAGAGGTGGGAAGACCTTTCCCTGAGAATTTGGGACAGTCCGCTGTTGACTTGAAATCCTTAAGTACATATATGTGCATTGTAGGATTGAGAGAAATTTAAAGCCTAAATATATTAACAAACACTAATCCGTTAACTTCATGAGTCCTGAATTATAAATTGAAAATAAGACTAAAAAGCTTCTTAAACAAACAACAACAAAAATAATAGGGTCTTTCGTCTAAAAGGAAATGAAGGGAAGACAGACCCTTTTGCATTCATTAGCATACCTACCATAGTGACAGAGAAGGGAAACTGTTAGTGACTGGGAATATCTGTGTGTGTGAAAAGGACTGATTTATTTGTACAGCATGTAGATGTTTGGAGAGGGAATGAAAGAGTTTGATCTCACATCTCTGTGGAGGTGTGATCTAACCTTCCACTGTTTGAGAAGAGTGATAGTTTGGTCAGCTGTTAATTCCAAAAAATTTACTAAGAACTTCTGATTGTCCAAATGCGGCACTGGACACAAAGATAAATGAGAGACAACTCCTCGTTAAGGTCAAAGAAAATATTTTAGGCTGTTTTATACAAAACCAAGAGAAAAGGCATGCCCGTATTTAGGTACTGTGCGGTAAGTACCTGATGTCGTCTAATGCACACGCAACACTGTGCTGAAGGCCACATCATTGTGTTTTGAAGATGAAGAAATTAAGGTTGAGTGAGATTTCGGTAATTCCCTCCAAGGTCAGTTGCCGTTATGTAGCAGTGATGGGATACACAGAAGTCCTGTCAGATTCGGCTACGTTCCATCATTTTTCCCACGCCCCCAGATGTCATCTGTTTACTCACGCCCCTATTGCCACTTTTCTTATTCGTCTCTCTTCATCTCTGGCTCTTGGCCCGATGTCAGGGGGAGTGGGGTAACAGGAGGAGGTCATTTGTGGTTTGAAATCTACTCTGGGTGTTTCTGGACCTACCCATCTACCCCCCTCCTACCCCACCCTTTCCCTGGTTTGAGGAGCTCCGGCAGGGGTGGGGGGCAGGAGAAGGATGCCTTTGACAGTTACAACAGATTTCCTTCCCAAGTCTCATGTCCAGATAGTCTCCTTCCCAGAACTCAGCACCTTGATTTCAAGCTCTAAGCTCTGCTGCCCTCAATTCCTTGGTTTCTCCTTACAGCACTTTTCTCTCTTCATCCAGCCTTCACCATGCTCCATTTTCTAGTCCTCAGAGAACTCGATTGATTATGTTGAGTTTCTTGTTTTTAACTTAAGTAGTGAGTTTCATATAAGATTATGCTTGCTGTCCAATAACTTTCCTTTTAAGGTGTAGTAGGAAGACAGACAGATTCTTTTTGTTATGGGATCAAAAAAGAGCATGCAACTTTAAGACTGAGTACCAGAAGGTTACATATTAATAATAATAAACTTATAAAATAATATAAGGCAAATGAAACTTATTGCTTAGTTTATAGGACCTGAGAAAGTCTCCGGAACTATTTGAAAACAATTTTTTTCAGCAGCATATTTAAACAGAATTTCAAGTGATCTCAGAATAGCAAAAAGATTAGATGAAGTAAGAAAAAGGGAAGGTGTTAATGTGTAATAATCAGCCACGATTACTTGGAGAAACCAGGAACACTGGTATTTATGCAGTTTGTACACAGTAAATTCCTCTGTGCACAATTGCATAACAAATGTTGGCCCTCACCCTGTTAGCTACAGTCCCAGGGTACTCAGAGCCTGAAATTAGATGAAAGAGCCCACACAGAGATTGTGGTTTGAGATTCTTTCTAAATAGATTACTGGACTTCCACATATGGTGTATTAGGACCTACAGCTGGGACAAACATTGTTGTGACCATTGTTGTTACTGGAGATCCGTACGTTCCAAGTGACAATGCCATGTGCTTGGTTACTCCTGGAGGACAGGGGAACTAGGGCCCTTCAAGACTAGGCTGTTACTTGATAGCTAACTCAATTCACAAGTACCTAAGTGCTTTTTAAATTGGCACTTAAGTACTCTCATGATTGAGTCTTACCAAGTTATTGTCAACACCCAATTCAGGTATACAGATAAGCCATCCCATTGTGTGAGTCTGTAACTGACTGTATTCTCAGGTTTTGCTCTGCTGGCTTTTCTCCTCCTTTCCTCTTATTCTTCAATCACATGATTTTAGTTTTCTCGCCCTTGTTAAAGAGCTAGGATAGAAGAGAATGGAATAGCGTATGAAGTTTGCAATGCAATTTAAGCGTACAGATGGAAGATGTGTCCTTATCTCCTTAAAAACTGAAAACAGAAAAGGTGGCAGAGTGAGGGCTTCCTCGGCATCTGGCACCGTTTGTGTCCTCTCATTTATAGCCCTTAATGACAGTGGCTAACATTTCTTGCACACCGACAAAGACAGCCTGTTTTAAGGGCATCAGCTCCTTTGATTCTCACAACTTTCCTCTGCTAGCCCCATCCTAATGCATCATCACAGAATCCATAGTTAGAGGTCACGTGACTCACCCAAGGTCGTAGAGCTTGAAACTGTCTGGCCAGTGTGTTCCCAGAGCCCTGGCTCTGGACCGCTCAGGAGTGCTGCCTCTGGGACAGCACACGGCGCTCCAGGTCCACGAGTAGCCTGAAAGACCCTACTCCCCGACGACCCGGGAATTTATCATATTTTGTAAATCCAAAAGACAGCACCTGACACGTAAGTAGGTGCTCAGAAATTGTTAATGAATAAATGATGAGCGAGTGAGGCAGGGAGGGAGCAAGAGCCTGGAGTAGGAAATCAAGCAAACTCCTCTTACAGACCTCCTCCTGAGCTGAGGAAGGAGGAAGACTCTGTGGGCAGACCCTGGTAGAGGTTTCTGTAACCAGAGCCTCACATGCTGACCCTGAGCAGATGAAGAAAGAGCAACGTTAGAATGCTTATATTTGAGGGGCACCTGGGGGGGCTCAGTTAAGCATCTGACTCTTGGCTCCGGCGCAGGTGGTGATCTCACGGTTCATGAGATCAAGCCCTGAATCCGGCTCTGCACTGATAGCACAGAGCACGCTTGGGATTTTGTCTCCCTCTCCCTCTCGCTCTCTGCCCCTCCCCCCGCGTGCTCTCTACCTGTCTCTCAAAATAAATAAACTTAAAAAAAAAAGAATGCCTATGTTTGAAAATACACTTTGAGAGTAGGAAGCAAGAGTGTTAGATGGAGTGTGTTTGGCACACGATGGGCCCAGATGTCTACAGGCGAGCTGGACCCATTAGCTTCAAGTTGACCACGCGTCCTCCTGATGAGCACGGAGCTCTCGACTCCCTCCCAGGGCAGCCACAGGGCTCTTTCATCACTGGTTTGTAAACTGTGGTTTATTCCCTCTTCAGTTTAGCCCCTGTGTCCAGAGTCCCACAAGGCTAATGCTCACTGGCAAGTTGAATGTACTGCTTTTAAGACCTGCCTTGTTATTTCACTACGTTTTTTTTTAACGTCGCACTTCAATATTGAAAATACTTTAACTTTTTCCCAGTAATATCAGATATAAGTGGTGCCTATGCTGATTCTTAATGTCAGAGGGACCCTAAGGACACAGTACCATTTTCCGTTTAAAAAAAAAAAAAATCTGTTTTATATTTAAAGGTAAGATAGGTGTTGAGGAGGGAAATTTTGGCTACAAGGTATATATGACATGCACTTGATGACCCGATAAGAAAAATGCAAGAAATGTGAACAGGTATGAATGAGGCCAGCCTGACTGCCCCACCTGATGCAAGAGATAAGAATTTCGTTGTTACTTCGAAGTCTTGATGTG